TCCGACGATTCTATTTCATTTAAATATAAGAATGTATTTTTTACTGTAAAGATTATGTTAAATTCAGATTGTGGTGTTAAATATCGTGCCAGTTTGAAGATACAGAGGATAATATCTGAAGATGAAGGCCTACAGAGAAAGATTAGAATGATTAAGAGTTTGTTGTCTTATTACGGATTTTATCCGTCCATTTTTAGTGATTTTATGATTGATGCAATTTCAATGTCAGTAAGAAATGTAATTGGGGATGCAAAGTTTATTGATATGTTTTTAAAATTAATTTTTGATACTTCCACTAATATTTCAATAGATTTAGATTCTTTGAAATTGATAACCTCTAAAATTGGCAATAGTTCCACCAAACAGTCTCATCATATCGTAGATATCTTTACTGATGGGGAAAAATTCCGACTCACCCTTCCCAAAAGAGAACTTATAGATGAATTACGATTAATTATTGGAGTATTGAAATATAGAGCTCCTATACAATCTCCAATAAGTAATATTGCATTCGAAAATATCTTAAGCAAGTCTTCTTCAGAGCTTGAAGCACAAAATAATGAAAAATCGAATGATTTAAAAATAAATATGTGTGATAAATCATGTGATGCAGACTGCCCATTGTTGGACAAGACTATAAATGACAGTTTGGTATCCAAACACTACTCAACCATCGATTCAGACAATATTAGTGGTTTAACTAATACATCGCAAAGTAAAGATCTGGTAACTTCCCCAAAAAATAATGAGATATCCAGTGGCCCTAATTATATCCAATTTGATGATAAATGTCGTTTTAAGCTCCCACCATTACCAGATTTTGATTCATATGATTTTGTATTGAGTAAAAAAGAATTCAGAGGGTTTGATGAAATTTGTGGTATGTTTCCATCATCTTTTCTGCTTGGAGTTCCTGAATACGACTTTCTTAAATATAAGAATACCACTCTTTACTATTCACCATACAGTAAGATGTTAATGGTTAAGACAGATCAAAATTTTGTTGAAAATATGATAATTTTAGAAACCTCATTTAACTTTATAAAATCAAAAATCAATAAATAGCCTTTCAAAATTTAATTAAAACTAACTTCACATAGGACATTTTGTGTGTATAGATGGTTTGAATAATAAGAGCTAGCCTATTGTCTCTTCAAACTTGTTATCTACTAATCTGATAAGAAAGTACAGTAAAGCATCATTTTCTAAAGTTATAGGAACAATATATCAGAAATAACTATAAATGTATTGTGGTAGCAAAACAGAATATATCCTCATTAATAAGTTATGCTTACTATGATATTCGCAAAAGCTTTAAAAACAATCTACAATTCAATAATCTGATAAATAGTAGATTATATTATTTGCTACCAATATATTTTTGGTTTGAAATATGAAACAGGCTAGGTCATAAATCATTAACTTCAATATGAAACACTTGTTTGGCTTTTTGTTTAAAAATATCAAGAGAGAGAGTCTACTATGAAGTCTACTTCGAAAATAAGCACAGCAATACTTCTAAATGTCTTTATAATAGGATGTTATTTTCTATCAAAGTATCGATCACTAGTGATCAATAAGCATGGCTCTTTAGGAGTGGATAGCCAATCGACGAGCGTAAAAGAAAATTTGAATAACAAATCCAACAAATTGGCTAACACTATAGTAACAAATCAGAAGGGTAAGCCATATTCTAGTGAAGTTGAACAAGGCTATGCCGAAATGGGAAAATTTACTCATAACAATATTGGAGTAAATTCAGATAATTTCAATGGAAAGGATTTTACTCCAAAGCACGATAAGAGTACAATCTGAATTTAACATAATCTTTACAGTAAAAAATACATTCTTATATTTAAATGAAATAGAATCGTCGGAGATATGGTATTTGAATCGACTTCTGTTGAATATAAAGCAATAAAATGCTACTTTTGCATAGTTTCTTGCTTCATAATCATCTGGCCATTGGGCAGTTTCCTCTAAAAAAATATATCCCACATAGTGATTGGTTATATTAGTAAATGGATCCATTAGTTCATAATCAACTATTTCTAATGGAAGGTTCAATGCTTTTAAATGCTGAACCAGCTCCATAAAATATTTATGTGCATCTACAGGAATGTGCTTTAGGGCATTTATTCGTTTTTCTCTTAAGTCTGCTTTTATGGGTTCATATTTGATTTCATCACTGAAAATCAGCTCATTAAATTTAACTTCTGAAAGTTTGACAATTTTACCAATAAGATAATATGGAATTAAATATTCCCCAATAGCAAGGTTCTTTATAGGTTCATAGATTTGATCGTTAAATTTAATCCCAATAAACATTTCATTTTCTGCATTTTCGGAGTAAATATATTCTATTCTATCACTAAATACTTTTTTAATCTGCTCTACATCAATAGATTGTTCTACAAAAAAGCTTAAGTCAAAAAGATAGTTCTTTCGCAAAATGGATTCGAATACTGGAAATTGTTTTGAATATTTCAGTAAAAATGTGGTGAATGCGGTGTTAAGGGACATCCTGTCATCTATTAGGTTGGTATCAATCATTTTCAAAATTTCAGACTGAAAATTTCTGTTTAAACCACTTCTCTTGATTTCTTTTGAGATGAATTTCACAATTTTTTCCATGGATTACCAAAAAATATTTTTTATATTTTATTGTAAAAATTGGCAAAATCTCAGCCAAAAGCTTTCCCTATGTCTACAAATAAGTTGCATATTAGGGGTACTAATCATAGTATATACTTGATGTTTGGATAATTAAATATTTAAACTTCATTGGGAATGACAAAATTCAAAGAGCAACTAATTTATTTATAAACGTTATATACCCAATACTTAAAATTATTCTGTTTTGATTACATCGTTTATCTTTAAAACAGTATTAACCAAATCGGTGGCCATCTGAAATTGACTGGTTTTACTAACCAGTGATTCAAACACTCCCTTCTTCTTCATATCTTTCTCTCCAATATCAAAGCAATCCACCCCAACTCTGAAGTTTCCAATGCTAGAAACGTGCAATTTTCTCAGCTGTTCAACATAACTTAACGGTTCAAACCCACTATTTTTTGCAAGCGAAAGTGGAATTTCTAAAAGTGCTCCCGAAAATGCCTTAATACAATCCATAATCTCTGGAGAATATCCATTGGTAATACGTTCAGGACTATCCGCCAAGTAGTCACTATTCACAAGCTTGTCTAGAAAAACTGATAGATGCAACTCTATACTTCCTCCCCCATAAACTATTCTATCATTACAAAGAATATTTCTAACAGCACACAATGCGTCTCTGACTGATCTTTCCGCCTCACTCATCACGTATTCCGTAGAACCTCGAATCAATATTGTAACACTTCTCTTACCTTTTGATGTTTCATTAGTATCTGTGTCTATAATTATAATCTTTTCACTATCAGTTCCTAAGCAGACCTGCTTGACATTTGCAATCCCCAAATCACAATTTCTTAAATCTTCAAATCTGGAAATAATTGCTCCATTTATATGTGTTGCAATATGGCCAAGCTCATAGCCTCCAACCCATCTAATAGCTGGTAGATCATACTCCAAAAGCAGGCTATTTGCCTCATCATCAAAACCCCATTGACACATAACCATGTCTGCCTCGGCTGCCTTAATAAATTTAATCATTTCCAAGAACTTTTCTTTCTCATAGTCTTCTAATTTCTTATATTCATCAACTGTTTTAATTAGAACCTTATTCTTATTCTTAAGTCTTGGAGGCTCAAATGGACAACATAAAAGTGCTACCTTTGCATTTTTTATTTCTGTTCTCATTTGAATATGACTGAATTCTTTATCCAAAACAATTCCATTAATCAGTTTGGTTTCAGTTAGGCATTTACCGATTTTAGTTCGGACATTAATAAGTTCTAAATCAACATCCTTCCTTTCCAAGTCTGCTACTGCACATATTGCATCGACACATATCTGACTCAAATCAGCAATAGAAACTATCTTAGATCCCAAACTTGTTCTTGCTGCGTTTAAGAGGATGCTTTTACTGACGCTTCCAACTAAATCTAATTTCTTGATATTGGAGGAATCTTCTGAAACATTTTCACTAATCCGCTCCATCTCTGATACAACCAACTTTAAAGCAACATCAAATCCTTCGGAAATTTTTATAGGGTGCATTCCCTTTTCGATAAGAACCTTAGCAGATTGAAGTATTGCTGATGCCAGGATTACAATGCTTGTGGTACCATCGCCTATTGAATCATCCTGGGATTGACTCAGTTGAACTATCAAAGCACTAATTGGATTGTTGGTCATATCCATCTCATTCAAGATAGTTGCTCCATCGTTTGTAACGGTTATTTTGTCATCTTTACTAATTAGTATCTTATCCATTCCCGTGGGCCCAAGAGAAGTAGAAAGAAATGATGCAATAGAGTTTACAGTATTTATATTGGCAAAAATACAATCCACACCTGTTATCTCATCAGTTTCATTTTCTTTTATTTGAAAAGATAATCCAAACTCATCGGAAATTAGTTTAGACATGGGTGAAAATTTTATCAAACTATTATCTATTTTATCGAAGATAAAAGAATTCAGCTAGATGGGTAGATTTGAACTGAAATCTCCTGAGCATAAAATACTTAAGATCCATGTTTTATTGCTTTTCATTGTAATAGACAGAATAGATGAACATATGGCCTGATCCCAGAATTCATTTAAAAGACAAAGTAAAAAAATTATTAATTGGTTTGAAAACAAAATACCCGACGCGGGGCTCGAACCCGCAACCCCCAGATTAAGAGTCTGATGCTCTACCGATTGAGCCAGCCAGGCATACTACCCAGTACATTAACTAATTCATCATAAAATCAATATTCTCTTTCGCCAACAATATAGTGTTAGAGATAATCGAATCAAAAATAGTTTGTTGCATTTTAATAAGCTATTGTTGTATATCAATCTATTTTACAATTAAGAATTTGAAATAGAAAAATAATATTTGTTTTGTAAAAATTGGGATATCTATGTGTACAAAGCAATTGATTTTATTTTTAGGTTATAAAAAACCAAATTCTTGTATAAATATTTTATTTCTAACAAAATTCCCACCCCATCCTCTATGGTCATACTTAATAAATCTGTTTCATGCATAGATGATGAGTCTTACATTAACACATTTGTGGAAAATCAATTAGAAATGCATTCAATAAAAAATCGTTTTTCTACACAAAAATATTTGTGGGAATATTTCCTGGAAGAATAAATTTTTAGTTAGATAACCTTAATTAATGTATTTACACTATAAGGAGGAGCAAAATAGCTATCTGCAAATATTAATCTTATCTGAAGCTCATATGCGTTGTGTGAGGTATTTAAAACAGTTTAAAGTGACCTATACTTTGCTCTTTTTGAGCTTCTCTTTTTGTTATGAAGAAGACGTAATATCCGTTCTTCCTCTGATATTTCATTTTCCGCTATATAATTATTGGCCTCATCTAAATTAAACAAATGTGGATCACATGTGCTTTTATCCAGTTCATTGGTTGAAGTCCTGTTTGATCGGTTTTGACCTTTCGATTCTCTATAACCTTTATGATAAGTCCATTTCTCCAATAATTTACTAATTGGCAGATATATTGATTGTAAAAACTTTTCAACATTCAAGCCAAGAAATCGAGAAAGTAACAATTCTAGAGAATTAATATCCACTTCCTCATAGCTACAATTTAGTAGTACCTTACATTCTTTTCGTTGCTTATTGTTAATTAGTGGAATATTTGTTGTAGTTTTCAAAATATCCGAACATTTATTATCTTCTACGCCTTGAATTACCATGTCGTTCTCATAAGAGATATCACAAATTGTGTTTCCAAAATTGATTTCATTACAAGTAGAATTTGTTATGGTTTTCCTCCAATGTTGTTCTTTATAATTATCCTCCAGTTCTTCATTATTATTTGGATTATTTATCTCAAAATGTTTTACAGTTCTATAATCTTTTGGATCAATGCATAAATCAGTAGCTGAACTGTTCAATGCCTGCACATTCGACTCTTTTAAGCTTAAAAAATAGTTTAATAGAAAGCCACAGATTGTAATTTCTGGGATATAGAAATGCTGTGAATCTAAAATGTAAAAGAATTTTTCGAAATAAAATATCATTAAAGATGTAATTACAATATTGCAAATTTCACAAACATAGGACAGGTAATTTTTAAACTTTTCCAAATCAGTATCCATCCCAGAGACAAACTTATTGCACATATGCAGTATCATGATATCAGGTCTTACGAAAGAGGAACTTTTTACAAGACGTCGAATTCCGGATTCTAATCCAAGAGTCGATCCAACTGATAAAGTCGAATAGAATCCACTCCAACTCTCCTTTGGAAATTGGTGTTTTTTCACTATATTAAAAAGACGCTGTGATCCATTAAACAAGGCATACTTTTCATGGAATTCCTTTGCAGTATAAATATTTCCAGTGGATTCTCTCTGGAAACGAACTGCCATATAGATGACTGCTTGAAAATCGGCAAAGGAGGGAGATGTTGCATGATGATGTAGTTCGGGATCTGAAAGAGCACTTTTTAATGATGAATCCGGTAGATTTGAGGAAGGAGTGCTCAACGAATCAAAAGGTTGTACTAAACCATTTTGTTCATTTGACGATGCCATCTGCGCCTCGTTAGCTTTGCGACATTTCCATCTTCTTCTTTTCTCGTTTGCAATGTCATTGATCCTCAAAACCTTTTCTAATTTACCATCTGTTTTTCTATATAGCCCCGTAAAATATTTAAAATAGTCCTCTGATTTTATATCAAAAAAATCCATTGCTTCTCGATACAAATCAAAAAAAACAACCAATCCATGTAAAGTAGCAACATTCTTATCCAACAATTCTGGCTTAGCTTTTATTTCTGCCTTCTTATGGACTATTCTATTTTTTCCCATAAGTGCAAATTCGGTATCATCTATAAAAATTGTATTATGAACAATATGTCCCTCTGGACAAACCATAAAGTTTTCCACCTGTTCCATTTTATTGTTACACACAGAGCAAATCATTCTTCCAGGGGGCGAAAAAATTATCATGTATTTAGTTTTACAAATATTGTATTGCAACAAGTTTTGATTCTTACTTTTTAGTAAAAGTTTTTAACCCATTTATGGTTATAGCTGATGAAAATTTTTATACATTTGAAGAACATGATGATTTCACATTAATTATATCTTCTAGTATCCTTTTACAGAGGAGTGTTCGCTTTCCTTTCTTTTTAAACAAACCAGCTATTATAGACACATTAGAGTTTCTAAATAAATTTAATGGAAGTAGATACCAAATTGAAAAGAATCAAAATCCTATCTCTCAATCATTTGAAAATAAAAAATGCCAGCGAGTGCAAGATCAGGATACTACCTCTCTTTATCAGCCAACTCAATCTGTAAATTGCCTGTTTAAGGATTCTGAAAATCAATTCATTAGATTTTTTCCAGGTAAGTTGATCCAAATTGCCAAGACTATTTTTATAACACATATTTGTAATATATTAGATGTTTTGTGTATAATAGGTCCATTTTTTCAAGATAATATTCTGGTAACTATGTCTGGAGTTACAAACGAGAGAATTAGAATTAGTAGGAATGGTAAGGACCAATTTATTTGCAAATCAGCTGATTTATACAAAATAACATATTTTACAATTTATAAGGTATTTGGGGTTACAGGGTTTAATATAACTGTAAAGAAGAGAGGATTTTCACCTATTGGCCAAGGACAGATTCAGTTCCAAATTAACTCTATCAAAAAAATTTCTAAGATTAATATCATCGAAATAGAGCCAATTGAAAAAATCAGAGGAATGGTAATAACATCTCGAATCGGATCAGAATATTCACAAAGAATGATTAAGAAAATTAAAGAGGTTTTTGACGAGATAGTAAATACAAAAGTATTCTGCATATTAAACAACAGAAACGACTCTGGGCCATCAGCAGGGTTTGAATGCTCTGTTTTTGCAGAATCTAAAAATGGGATTTTTTACCATACTAATTGCAGTGATAAGACGATATCAATTTGTAAAAATAATGGCGGACAATCATTCCCAAAACAAAAATCTTATCCTTCTTTACCAGAGCAACTTGCTGAAGAATCTTGTTTAGAATTATTAAAAATTATCGATCAAAAGGGTGTTTTTGATTCAAAACTTTTTCCAATAATTCTGATGTTTATGACACTCTCTGATTATATTGGATCAGTTAATTTGGGTGACAACAAGTTTGAAGAATATCTAAGTACAATACACAAAATTTTTAGACAGGAATACACAGTTAAAAAAACACCAAATGGTAATATTTTGACGATTGTTGGATGTTCCTACTGCAGTAATCTAAGATAGATGTATAAGTTAATTCGAAGAAGTTGGGTATTTGAGTACCAATAAAAATCAGGGGTTTTATGATCTTTACTGTCATAAATAAAGTGAAATCTTCTTGTGATGTTGCTGAAGTTCAATATATGATATCGTGTTGTTGATCATAATTGTCCTTTCTCATTTGGATGTGTTCCAAAGTATTATATCAAAATAGCATCAATTCGTGGTAGTTCAATCTTTTATTAATTCCTAAACTTGGTACTTTTCCATTCAAAATACCCTTAAAATGCCTTTTAAAGAGGAAGAATCTGTTGAAATCACTTCTGAAATGTATGAAGAGATTGACACCAATTTGAATCTGGAAATTGTAGAAGTTAAGAATGTAATCAAAGATATTCTGTCCAATAAACTCCGTGATAGTAGCAAATATTCCCCACAGATGGAGCTGTTTGAAATTTATGAAATTATCGAGGAGATCGATAGAATTGCTGGAGGTGTTGTGAACAATAAAAGAAATATAAGCTTAAAAGAACTTATTAGTAAAGAAATTTCTAAAGATAGTAGGCAAAGCAAACCCATTAATATAAAAACAGTTGTGGGTGATCTACTCCAAACCGATTTTTTTCAACCTTGTCCGATTTCTGTTGAAATATGTGATAAAAATGATCAAGTTGTTATCAGTTCCAAAGAATCAATTCTGAAATCTAAAATTAATAATAACAATATCGAAATAAAAAAAAGCAATGCTAAGAAAAAAGGACATAAAAAACTGGATAAGATGATGGGATTCAGGGATAAACTGAGTGGTTTTATTACAGAAAAAAAACCTTTAAAGTGGGATGACGAAAGAATATCCGAATTTATCAATTCAATTCGAAAGGCTAACAGCTAACTTATTGTTGAAAATATTGGTAGAATACTAAAATAAACGGTTTTATCAATTAAGTGAGAATCTCCTCTAATATTTTTAATATTAATGCATCGTAATATTCAGTTTCATGAAAAGAGTCATATTTGGCAATACAATTATTAAAATGACTGATTGCCTCAATTACTCTAGATTTTGATTTCTCCAATTCTTCATCAAATCATCTTTTTAGTTACAATATGTGTAGAATTTCTTTAGTAAACTAACACAATATTTTAATATTTAAAATCGTAAATAATTGATTTATTTAGTTTGTTCCCTACTCATATTAAGAGCAGATGCCTGTCTTTGTAATTCTGCCATTCTCTCTGCCTCTGCCTTTTTCTTATAAATATGCTCAATCATATTATTTTTGTTCAGCTTAAACATATTTCCTTTAGCCTGTTGTTTGTATTGACGATACTCATCGGATGTCAACTCACCTTTCAGTTTCATCTCCTTCAGTTCCTCCCTCATAGACCTAATTGTCTTCATCCAAATAACCTTCGATGATAATCGAGCATTCTTTGTTCCCTTTCTGGAACCATAGCCCATATGCCTTCCTTTTGATTTAGCTAACGCTCTGGCCCTAGCTTTTGCTAAGCTATTTATTTTATCTTCTCTCTTCACTATAATACCCTCTTGGATCAATTCTCTAACTTGGTGATATGTACTAGCAGCCATCACCTTCTCATTCTCATTTGGATCAATCCACAGTTTGCCTTCTCCACAGACTAGTAAATTCTTGGCCAATCTTTTGATAGAGGCTAACTTTCTCATTAAGGGTCTCAAAAAACTACAAAATTTTTGAAAAAATGTTTTATATAATTTTCAATGTAACAATATCACTGCATTCTACACCAAGAATATAATCCAGAAACATTTTGTTTTATTCTACTTAGCAACTTCCTGTATGAGTCCCATATTCTATACTTTCCAAGTTTCCGACAATTATTTATTGATTTAGAAAATGCTATTTCTTATCCCCAAAATGGCTTCAAACTTGAAATATCGCTCTTTAATTGAGAAATGTGTGGATTGTGGGGAAACTTCAAATATTATAGAAGATTATAAAAATGGGTATAACGTATGTGGCAATTGCGGTTGTGTTTTTAAAGACAGACTTATAGATGAGGGAGGTGAATGGAGAACTTTCGGCGACTCTAACAAAGCAGATCCATCACGTGTGGGTAGTGCAAACAATCCGTTTCTAGAATCGGAGCAACTCGACACGATGATTTCATCCTCAGGTGGATCGAATGCCTATACACTTAGTAAAATACAAATGAAAAATTACATGAGAGGCCCGGAAAGAACTCTCAAAAACGGATTAAATTTGATTACTGCATACTGTGAAAGGGCTTCTATTTCAAGAACAATTTTGGATCGAGCCCAACATGTTTACAAAATTGTAGAATCCAAAAAATTACTTAAAGGAAAAAATTTAGAAGGATCCATTGGTGCTTGTCTTTACATTGCCTGTAAGTTAGAAAATTGCCCAAGAACTTTTAAGGAAATTAGTGTGATTACCTCCGTGCAGAAAAGAGAAATTGGCCGCTGCTATAAGATTATATCAAAAGAGATCGATTCGAAGGGTATTATGGCAACTGGGGATATTGTGGCGAGATTCTGTTCTGACTTGAATTTGGATCTAAAAATTCAGCGTGTGGCTGCCACTGTTTCTAGAAATACTCAGGAGAATGGTTGTCTTACTGGACGCAGTCCCGATTCGATTGCAGCAGCAATAATATATCTTGTGCTATATCTATTTCCTGAATCAAAAGATGCACAAAAAGACATTCAGCACATCACAAATGTGACTGAAGTGACTATAAAAAATACCTATAAAGATTTGGTGGCTCATAAGAACGAAATTATTCCGAATGATCTTGTAGAACCATCACTTATTGCCAATTTACCTAAAACATAACGACAATAAATGTTTTCTGGCAAGCTTAGAAAATATAATGGCATGATTACTTACTAAAAACGAATAGTCTAAGTCAAATTAAAAATTAGAGATTGTTTATTTCTTCTTGGCTGAAAATGATTTTTGATTTCTACCATTACATTTAGTTCTCTGTCCATTACACTTAAGTCCAACAGCAAGTCTACAGACTCTAACTTCTTTGAATTTCTTACCTCTTTCGATGAGCATTCTAAGATCTCCATCCAGCTTAATACCAACTAATTGAGAGCTTTCTCCCGTCACAATATCCTTTTGGTGATTTAAAAAATATTCTGGGATTCCAAACTTAAGCGGCTCAGAGATAATTTCCTGAATCTTATTAATTTCGTCAACTGTCAACTCTCCGGCATATTTATTGGGAGAGATTCCAGCCCTCAAAATTACAGCCTTAGCAAATCTCATTCCAATTCCCCTGATTTTAGTTAAAGAAAAAACAACTTTCTTGGTTCCATTGATGTTTGTGTTGTAGAGACGGATAATGTGCTGCATATCCTCAGCATTAAACTGACTTGATTGAACCTTCGCTGCCATTTAGGGCTACAAAAATTTGGTAAAAATTTTCAAAAAATGAAAATTTTTAAACTAGCTTATTTCGATAAATATTTTCCACTATTTGGTTAAGTTATTCCATCTGATTAACAACTAATTTTATACCTTCAATTCTTTAAAAAAAATATTTTTTAGCCCAGAATGGCTAACTTATTGAGGAAGTCGTGGAAGGATCGTAAACCGAAGAATGCAGGATCTGTTATCCCTTATGAACAGAGACAGAGATTCAAAGAAATTAAAAAGATAGAAATTAAAGCCAAGAGAGAGAAGATGAGCGAGTTGAAGCAGAATAAGAAAGAGTATTTTGAAAGAATTGGAAAGTTAAAAGAGGAAAAACTTAAAAGGAAAAAAAAGACAAAATGATACAGTGAATTTTTCATTTTGTTCTTGCTGACTAGTAAGCTGTTTGACCAACATTAATAAATAAATAGCACATACAATATAGAGTTTCCAATGCTGTTCTCTTTATTCAGCTTACTAACTTTTCTGAGTATATTTTTTATAATTTTTTTACAAAATTTTCATCCTCAAATGGCAGCTCAACAGATGAAAAAATTCTTTAGAAATAGACGTATTGCTCATAAGACCACACCACTTCCTGCAGAACATTCTCCAGCGAAGAAGAGTTACGGTTTGAGTGAGTCACAGAAGTTGGCAAAGCTAATTGCTGGAGAAATCAACGGATTATGTCCATATGAAAAGAAAGCAGTGGAATACATTAAGAGTGATAGCATAAAGAAGGCAAGAAAGTTCTTAAAGATCAGATTAGGTTCATTAGTAAGAGCAGAGAAAAAGTTTGATATTTTGATGAAGCAATACAGATAAATAAAGTACTCTTAGAAATAAAATGATCGATCGCATAAGTATTTGTGATTAAGCTTGATATGTGTGAGTGAGATGATAGGTTGAATAATATCATACTTGTACAGATATATTAATTTTAAGTATTTTTTCCCCTTCTTCTCTAGTATGGTTTTATGTGAATGGATAGACTGCACCGAGGATGTAGATGATCTACAGGATCATCTTAAAAAACACATTCCTGGTAATGGAGATTATAAATGTCTGTGGAAAAACTGTTTTCGATTCAACATTCCTCAAACCAATAAATACACTTTTGCAGCCCATCTGAAGTGTCATTCTGGAATTAAACCGTTTATTTGTAAACTATGTGAAAAACACTTTGCACGGTCAGATGCCTTGAATAAGCATATTAAAAAGCATGAGTTGGAAGAAACCGATAAGAGAGAGAGCTTTGATAAAATATTCTATGCTTCGGAAAGGAGAGATTGGGAAATAAACCAAACTAGTGAGTTGTTAGAAGAGAGACAACATTATAATAATTTATTAAGGATAATTCAAGAAGAGAAATGTAGAAGGTATGACACAAGCAATTATTTAGAAGATTCGTGGGAAGATTATCTGTAGTAAGATCTCTTACTGGGTAATTCTCGCCTTTAATTAAATCAAGTATAATAACATTTGTGTAATTTGGATATCAATGATTATTTCTTAATTCATTTAAATATAGTCACATATTACATGGTATCCTCGATTATTGGAGTTTGGAATTAAGAGGTTTCTAAAATGGAAAGTATTCCATTTGTGGTTTTTCATACTGTAGCTATTTGTATATTAAGAGTTTCTTTATTAAAAATAGTGTAAGGAAAAGAGTTAGTATACAGAATAAGGTTATGAGAGCATATGCTTGAGCAATTGCTCATATCATCTATTTTATAAAATGCTATTCTAAACACAATATACTGTTTCTCCTTTAGCTATTATTTTTTATTTGATAACCCCTCCCCTCTCTCAGTTTCTATGCGCATCTCTACTCGCATATACAATCCAAAATCATTTCTGACTATACATTGTATAAATATCCAAATGATTCTATTATATTTCATTTCAACAGCAGTCATAGCAATAATATATATAATAACTATGTCAGGCATATCTGACCAAGACAAAAGCGAGGGTAATAACTTTAGTCTATTCCATCGTCTTCATTTCTTTTTGGCCTTAGTATATTTTTTGGCTTCGATGATATTCAAGTTGGATAAATCAGCAGATGCTGATAATACTTTTGAAGTTCTTCCTGAGGCTATCCTACTATATTCACTGGGAAGAATATTTTTCTATTTTTTAGAAAATGCCTACTTTTACGAAAATGTTCTAAGTATGGGATTCATATGGTTGTTATATGATGTGAGTACTACTTTAAAGAAGGGATTTAATAATTATCTCTTAATATTCAGTGGTTGGATATTTTTTCAACTTTTTTCAACATCTTCTAATCTTATCACACTTTTTGTAATATTTATATGCTTGTACTCCATAGATTTATCGCCCAATTATATTTCTAGAAATAGTGTAATGTCAGTGATATATTTTATAGATCTTTTTCTTACTTCTAGAAATTTTTTTGAAGAGTTCTGGAATCTTTTCAATAATGGCTTATTATTTATCATAAGTTTACTTTACTTTGGACTTTTGTATATAGTTTTCATTACAGAATGGAGTTTATTTTCGAGACCAGTTAGTTACTTTATTTCTGTAACGTTGATATTTTCAATATGTCCCAAATATGATGTTTTTTTCACTGTTATTGAAAGTAGATTGGTGCTTCCAATTATTGCCTTTTCTATATCTATGGTGGTTCTAGGAATGCTATATAAGAAAACTACATTGACAGTCTATTTCCCTCCTAATGATCAGAGTATTTCTGATTTTATCGAATACTCTATAAAACCATTAATATTTCCTACAAAATTGGATCCAATTGGAATAACAATACCTGAAAATATGATTCTTGTTTGGGATATTGCTGATGATACCTGTGATGGCACAGACAATATCAAAGATACTACCAATAATTGTACTATTTCGTTTAGAGATTTTAAAGCCATCTCTATCTTACACATTTTAAACAATTTGGTTAGATCTGAAAATAAACGAGTCAATACTTTAAGTAGGCAAGTCTATGAATCGATAGATAATTTTAGGGATGAACTAAAAATAGCGAGGTCAAATGCAAAAAAACACTTCGACAATTTAGACCAGGATATTAAATCTGCTGTAGAAAATATTATAGAAAGAAATAGAAATAGCATCTATAATACATTAAATGTTTATCAAAATACTGAGGAAAATGAGGACGCTCTATCCCCTGTTTATGATCTTACCTATGAAGAATATGCCTTCTTTAAGAATCAAATTGAAAATAGAATCAAGAATGAAGAGTTTGAGAATATGATAATTTATTTGAATGGATTTTACATGGGGTAGAGTGAATAAAAACTTGAGTCGGGTATACACTCTTGTAGATATATATCATCCATGTGATAAATTGATTTATTTATAATAAATGATAGTTCATTATAAAATCCTCTTTTAATTTGCTCTCTTCCATATTGTTTCCTATCATGTTTCTATATGTGTGTGTCTTCAGGGCTGCTTGTCTCAATAATCTTTTGGTATTTCCTAATATTTTATATGCTTTATCTTCACAAATCCCAAATAAGCCTAATAATTTACAAATATCTGACGGTGATTTTATTTCAGTTCTATACTTAGCTCCACTGGAAATTATTAAAATCGGAGCTGCTCCAAATTTTATTAATCTTCTTAGATATGCCATGAATTTTATTCTTTCCTCAGCCTTATACAAAGCATCTATAAGGACAATCTCTATGAAGATATTATTCTCTTTTAAACTATTAATCGTTCCTTTTCGAATATGCACCCCATTATGAATCTGTAAAATATCCGGAGCAAATTTTATTATTGTGGAATTCACTTCATTATCAACTTTGATCGAAACTATATCAAAGTGATTTCTAATAGTATTGAATTGATTTGTGTTGTTTAATGTTCCAAAACCATTCATTTGAGTCGTATCAAAATTAATTCTAGAATATATCCTTTTATCAATCTGTGGTAAAACAAGCCGATTGAACTCATCTTTGAACACCTTAGTTATACAAAATCCGGAAATATTGTCGAAAGAAGATAGCTCTGAAAAATTCTCATAACTCTCGCTAATTGAATAAATGTAAATGATATTCTAATATAACTTATATGATGCCTGCTAGATTATAAATAATAAATCGGTATATGTTATAA